TGAATGCACACTCATCCAAATCCTTTAACAAATCAAGCCATATTTCCTACACCAATCTATGTAACTAGGACATGACAAAARATGGTGAAAGATCCTAAAGCAAGATCTACCAAATATGACTCTAACAGCTGAAACAAGAGATTCACGAGACTAAACAAATTTCAGCATGATGTTGGTTCAATTTGATCTAATAAAACACTAGTAAAGATAAAAAATAGTCGTTTCAGCACATGCATGTTACAGTCCTAATCTTATTAAATAAATCGCATGAACTAAATCCGAAACCAACAATTCACCCAAACTTCATAGAACTTCAGAGCATACATGTTAGACTAAAACACTTTGCTACTCCACCCCTATAACATCAAACATTGACGATGGGATGGGGTATGGATCTCTTCGTTTATCTATGAAAGTATAGGAGTAGAATAAAGGCCTACTACATGTATGAATATTGGCAAAGGCTAACCCTAATAAAATCAAACAAAGAACATAGAACTTCAGAGCATACATGTTAGACTAAAACACTTTGCTACTCCACCCCTATAACATCAAATATTGACGATGGGATGGGGTATGGATCTCTTCGTTTATCTATGAAAGTATACGAGTAGAATAAAGGCCTACTACATGTATGAATATTGGCAAAGGCTAACCCTAATAAAATCAAACAAAGAACATAGGGACGATGATCTAAGCAGTCAAAGCATGTGTAAATAGTCCTAACAATTGTAAAACTAGCATTGGCTTATGCAGCAAGAAATGAGATTAAACAACCTAAAAAACTAGTGATTAAACCAAGTGTCTAATAAAAACAAGAAAACAAAAAAATAAAATAAAATAAAATAACAAAAAAAAACAGAAGTAGACGTTGGATGCCTTTTATTTGAAGGTGGAAACCATCATTATCCATTCGGTTTTGTTAAAAATATGGCAATCAAACTAAACAAAATAGGAAGCTAATGATCTAAAACAAGCATGACTTCTAACGATGAACATTTACAACTTTGAGCAAGGTAGTAAGCCTACCTCTAATGTAACCTCCAAGCGAACAAAGAGAGATAATGTCCCCGATGATTGTGAAATGCCAATGAGAAAATGCTTCTGCTTTCCGGTTTTGGTGATAACGAAAGGATTGGAGGACCTCTGTTCTGGGTAGATGTGATTGAAAAACAGAGGGGAACTCTGATTTCTTCCTCTTTCCTCCTCTCCCTTCTTCTACCCTCTTCTTTCTTTTTCTTCCTAGCTGAACGGAGGCTTGCGTTCTTTCCTTTTTTTGTTCGTTTTTCTTTCTTTCTTTACTGGAAATGGAGAGAGGTGAGAGAATTGAGATTTCGGTGCTGGGTTCGGTCTTGTGTATGTGTGAGATGAAAGAGGAAGAGAAGAGGAATGAGATGGTGACTCGTTCAATTGTTCTCAAGGAGGAAGACGAATGAGGGATGAGAGAGGAAGAGGATGGTGGTGGGTTAGAGAAAGGGATCGTTTTGGTTATTCATGAAGGTTGGGGACGAGAGGAAGGAAGATGGGTTTCGGAGACTAGGGCTCGGTGGGGAGAGCTTTAGGGAGATGATGGAAGAATGAGTTGTGTTAGGTTGGTTCGGTTTATCTTTCTCTCTAGGTTTTTCTTTTATTTTATTTTTTGGGTTAAATTTGGTTCCAAACCGATTTGAGAAAGGGCTAGTTCGGTTGGGCTTTAGGATCGGTTCAATCAGTAGATTTTGGTTGGGTTAGGAGTTAGGACCGTGTCCAAGAAAGGTAATGATGAGGTTTGCTAGTCTTAGGGCGAGTTCATTTCCTCTCAACTCTTATCTCTTAAGAGAAATCTTTTAACTTTAAGAGAAAATTGGTTATTCATTTTCTCTCATCTCTTATATCTTAAATGCAATCGTACAACTTTTTGTTTTCCAATGATACCCCCAAAAAGACAAACAAAAACTCGCATATGTGGGGTCAAAATGGATATTTGATTACTTTCAGAGTTCAAAATTCAGAACAACATTCTCTGCATTCAGAGTTTAGAGGAAATAAAAGTTCACCAATACCAATATACCTCTTAATGTAATTATTGTACTTTCAAATGTTAGGCTTCAAAGCAAACGAACAGGCCCTTAGTGGGGCATGTCAAGTGAAAAATTATGTCTACGTCTTAGGGGACGTATCGAGAGAATTTATGACAGAGTAATGGGAGCCGTCAGAGTGGGATCGCTCTTGATATCATTTTTGGTTGTAAGAAATGAAGATGGTCATTTAAGATGTCTAAAAAGGTGATGGGCTTGATCTAAGCGTATTGAAGGGCATATCACGATGTAGATTTTAAATTTGGATAATTGTGGCTAATGAAAGCCATTGATTTTGAATCATTTTAAATGAAGGGTAAAATGGTCATTTTATGGTCTGAAAATTGTTTAATTGTCAATCAGGATGTTTTGATCGAGTTTGGAGGTGTCAAATGTTGAGTGACAACGGATATCTTAAATTAGGAGAGTATCGGATGACAATAGTAATTCAATTGGAATCGTTTAAGATAAGGGTAAAATGGTTATTTGTTGGCTGAATATGATGGATTGTCGATCGGATGGTTGATGTAGGTTTTGATGTGGTTTAGAGGTATCGAACGATGGTTGATGTAGCTCTCTCTCTCTCACTCTTTAATCTCTCTCTCTCTCAAACTCTCTTACGTGTTCTCTCCTTTTTTTTACCTTGGCAACCTCTCTCGATCTCTTTCATAGCTCCAATTCTCAGAATCCTCTCTTCCTCTGCTTGTTCTCCCTTTTTCTCAAAAATGAGCTCTCTCTCTCTCTCTCTCTCTCTCCCCTTTCAAAAAGAATGAGAGACCCCTGATTGCATTTGAGCCTTTTGACAGAACACAGGAGGCGTAAGCCTCCCACGCGCAAGGAGAAATAAGCCTCGAGCATGTATTTCTTTTATAATTATAGTGGGTATATTAATAAAATATAGTTGTTTTAAGCATAAAAACATACATAAACATAATACTTGAATAGCCTAATTTCAATTGTCAAATTGTCAATGGACCAATGAGTTCTAAATCTCATGTTTTCAACTCAAGTTCATTTCCACTCCAAGTAACAACATACAATCCTTGGTTGATGTATAACAAAAACAAAAGTAAAAATATATACAAAGAGTTGTTGCAAGATTAATTCAATTTTTACAATCTACATAATAACAGAATAGAGTCAATAGATTAAATTAACATGTCTAAGGTTCAGAAATTCCAATTTAAAAATATTCTTTAGTCACAAATGAGGGAAGCACAATCAAGAAATAATTTATCAAAAGAAGAGAAGATAGAAGTTACCTGAAGTTTGAAGACTGAAGCTGCAGCAGAAGTGTGAAGTCTTTGCTTCTTTGATCCTCTTAAGGTCTTCTAACAAAAAGCAGAAGAAAAAAAAACAGAGTGATGCTGAACAGAGCTGTGTGGCATTTTTTTAATGTAGCTCTGTTCAAGCTCAAGACTGAACAGGGCTACTGAAAAAAAAGAAGGGAAAAAAGAAAAGCAAGAAGGAAAGAAAGAAAAGAAAGAAAAAGAAGAATACCCCATACCTGACGTTGCAAAAGAATAAGAAGAAGAAGAAGAAGAACACACCCGTATATTTTAAGTTTTTAACCTCCACCCAACAGTCAACACTGAACAGAGCTGTATAAGATGATAAAAAGTCATAGTTGCAGCTTGAATAAGAAGATGATGATGATGACGATGATGAATAAAGAAAACCAACCTGTATTGCAGATTTGAGAGGTTGGTAGAAGAGAAGCTTCAGCAGATTCGAACTTCACAGCTTTGGCAGGTTCGAGCCCTAAGTTGTGTTAATTTGCAAAATGAATCAACGGGGGCTTATTGATATAACAAAATATGGACCATGATACATATTGTGGCCCACCAATTAAAGCCTAAAATCTTAAAATAAAGGTAAAATACAAAAACCTCCCCTAAATTTTCTGACAATCATAAAAACCTCCATTCGAGTTTCACGTTAACAAAAACCTCCCCTGAACTTTTGAAAAACTCAACATAAATCTCTCCTCCGTCACTATCCCAGACGGAAAAAGTTTGATTGATGCATTAGTTTTCTTAAATGCCCCTTTTGACCTTTTTGCATATGATGCCACATAAAATGAAATAAATTTTAAATTGAGTAACCCATTTGCTGCCCTTTTTTCTCCCTGAAACTCCATCGAGTTCAAACTCATGCCGCCCCTTTTTCTCCCTGAAACTCCATCGAGTTCAGACTCATGCCTCCCTTTTTTCTCCCTGCAGCTCCATTGAGTTCGAACTCATGCTGCCCTTTTCTCTACCTGAAACTTCACCAAGTTCAGACATATGCCATGGAGACGGTATGCAAACCCATGATGGTAAAAGCAAGTAGTTTTTACTGTTGATAAATCAATTTGGTATAGAGCACTCCATTTTTTTTACCTCAACCATGTCCACTAGTTCATTGGAAATCCAACAATTAATACACTTATAATGCTTATACAGAGAAATATGGACAACAGATCTCAGATCTCGTGTTCACTTTCAATCCAGGCACTAGAATAGTCACGAAGAAAGAACTTCACACTCATGCATACACAAAATGCTTTAAATCTGCCACAATTTCCTCAAACACCAAAAGAATTCTGAGGGTATCTTTAGATAAGGAGGAGAACATGGTGGAGTACTTTGATTTCTCATATTCTACAGTTGGCAGCCCATGTAGTAAACAAACTGTAAAAATATACAAAGTGCTATAAAATCATCTAGCCGGAATCTTCCATTCTTCTTCTGATATAAGCTATCACAGACTGTATAAAAAGAAAGAGAGTCAAGGGAAAACCCAACCTTTATCAAAGCCTCATAAACATCATCAGGAACAAGAAATCCACAACCTCTTTCTAGGTCTGAAAAAGCTAGCTGAACCTTAAGAAGAAACCTGTTAAAAGGAACAAATTCTTCAATGCTCATAGAGAGGGAATTCTAGGTTTTCAACTGCTAGAGCTCTCTTGAGCTGAGGGGCAATGATGCTCCCTGTCTTGTCTGAATCAACCAGTATGAACCACAACTACTTCAGAATCGTCATGCTCTCCATTTTGCACGGAAAGAGGAGTGCATTGTGCACCCTTCTCCTTGGTTGTTTCACAGTTTAATTATATGTAATAACCACTCCAATTTCATTTGCATTCGCTTGAATTCAAGACATTGTTTATCTAGTAAAATAAGTGTTTGGATGCATCTCTTATTCAGAGATGGTAAGTTAATATAACACCCATGCAGTACTTTTGGAGGCTGCTAAAACCGGCAGCAAAGGAATATTTACCTTTTTTTTTTCTTGCTCAGAGAGAGAGAGAGAGATTATAAGGCATCCCATGCCGCATCAAGGGGATATCCATCAGGAAGCTTTGTCAAGCTAGGGGCATTTGAATTTAAATCATATGTGAAAGGCCAATAAGAACTCTCAAAACATTCACTAACAGTTGGATCTTGTTTGTTCAATGCTTCAACAGTGTTTTGAAAGCTTAGTTCACTTTGGGTTGGACGGGCTTAGCACTATTGCTGTCACCAGTAGTTGAAGATCAGAGTTTGAATTCGTGCAGAGCTTGAGAACTTCCTCTATTTGATTGCATCTTTTCGAGCTTGTTAGTGATGAAGAGACACCAAATTTACCCTTTTATTCTTATCCCAAGCTTCTTGCTCAAATGCGTGTTCTAATGGTTCTTCACTTGATTGTCAGTTTGACCTAGCACTCGGCCAATGATTAGAGACCATTTATAAAAGAAGCACCAAATGCCATGATTTTACCTATTTTACACCAAAAGAAGTATCGAAGTCCATGATTTTGCCACTAGAAAAAGGGTAAAATGGGCATTTAAGAAAACTAATGCATCAATCAAACGTTTTCCGTTTGGGATAGTGACAAAGGGGAAGTTTATGTTGAGTTTTTCAAAAGTTCAAGGGAAGTTTTTGTTAAAGTGAAACTCGAGGGGAGGTTTTTATGATTGTCAGAAACGTCAGGGGAGGTTTTTGTATTTTACCCTAAAATAAATAAGATAAGAAAAAATTTTTAAACATCACACATGTGAGATTGTGAGTAGCATGCCTGAAGCTTATGTGTCACACCTCCATGCATCATCTTAAGAGCACCTTGCTTGGAGTGGTGCCCTATGCATATGACTCCCAAGCTTTTAAAAAAATTGGTAATATTTAGTCGAATGAAGACAAGATATATAGAAATTCGGCTTAGCTCAACTCAATTATACTAAACTTGAATAATTGTTTCATTTCTTTTCCACAAATTAAAGGAATTGTGGGCTAACCACATATTTTCAAATCTAAATGGTCTAGGGCCCTTTGACTTCATTAACTTCTCAATAGCAATGGGTTAGACTTTCCAGCATCACTTCTGGAAATATCTCCTCCCACTCACCATTTTTTGATAAGTAACGATATCTTCCCACTCACCATTGGACAAAAACCTACCCAACCTTCTAGGGATAGGAGGGTCTTGGCCTTTTGTCCATGTAAATTTTAATCCCACCACCCTTACCTCCATTAGCTATTCCTTCCAATAAAAACCCCAAAACTTCTCATTGCACTTGAAATCCTTTTATCCCTTCCCTCTTTCCTCTCACTCACCTTCAAAACCCAGGGCCCAACCCTCACATTATGGCATCTCTCCAACACCTCCCACATCTGTCCCCAACTTCCATCCCCTGTTGCCCCATAAACATAAGAAATCAGCACTCACTCCTTGAATTCTAAATAATCCAACACTACCGATAGTAAAAATGTACTCTAGAAGAGGCCCACCTTTGACCAAATCAAACCATCCCAGATTGTTAATAATCCCCCTGTTAATCCTTTAGATTCAACCACCCCCTACTCGGACCCATCCCATCCCCACAATTCAAAGACGACTCTGTTGTCCACCTTTTCCAACTCATTTCCTCTAGCAAAATCAAATCAGACTTGTTATATTGAATCCAATTCCTCGCTGCCTCTCTTTCCTTCACATCTCTCAACTCTCTTAAGAAAAATAAAGCAAGAATTTCTCAAATGCCTATGGTGCCCTGAAGCTAAACATCGCCATTGTTAAGGCTAATGACAAAGTTCGTCCATCAAGAGTTGGCCAAAAACACGTATTTTGACAATTCCCATCATCAATCCTCAAAGTTTAGTACCACGTCCATCTGTGACTTCCCGCAAATATAAAGACTCCCCAAAATCAATTGACGAAATGGTGCAAATACATTAACACAGTAATATACGTACAAATTATTCAAAATATCAGGGAAATAAGTTTCTTCTCAGTGGAATGAATAGAAACAGTTAATAGTAGAAAAAAGAGTAATCAAATTTAAGTTCGAAAACATTCAAAAAAACCGGAACAAAAAGATAATATAAGATAAATCAATGCAAATAAACAAAGAAATGAGAAAGAAAGAACCCCACTTTGATCTCACATTAAAGGGAAGCTGCATTCAGTCATCTTATTCTCCATCATCACCGAGCAATACCGAGAGGCCCTCTATTGACAACATAACCCTTTCCACCAACAGCAACATCCGCTAGCAGCTCTACCAACGGAGAAGCACGAGAGGCCCTCCATTGACCACCATTGCAGACCACTACAAGTGGGTTTCAGCAACCTCCGTGACAGCAAAACCACCGCTGCCTAAACGACTAAACCCCTCCCTGAACCGAACAACTGATAATGGCTAAGAAGTGAGAAAACGAGGAGGGCATTACACGGACCCCTGTACTATGGGGTCAGTGACTAAGACCCTCTGCATTTTTTTGCAATATAAAACCCTAAATTTTACGTTTTTACAAATATGCCCCTCGGCCTTCAAGTCAAAATGGCATAAAGTGTTTAATTACCAAAATATCTCACTAAACTCTAATGTCATTAAGAACTAACAGAAAATAACAAAATATCAAATTTACCCTCTATTATTCTTCAAATCTATTAAATCTATTCGAGATCTCTGCCTAATAGGACTTAAAAAACAACGAAAAAGATAAAACATGACTTAAAAAACACAGCATGGAAGCTTTTTTGGTTGAGCAATTGGAAGCTTTAAGTCCATGGGTGATACTTAAATTAAGGACAACAAGGGTTGTGACAAATTTGTCCATATATTCTGGACAAACTAATGGGCCTAAAAGCCCTACCACTCACGGACCGAGAAGTTGCCCATGTTTCTGAAACCATATTTGAGATTTTCTCTGTTGCATCCTCATGCTACAGTTGTGGTGGTTTGGTCCGCACATGCACCTGCAGCATGCAAGTCCGGTTTATTTATTAATCTCGATCCGGGTTGACTTCAAAAACCAAAAGCCCGGTCAGCAATTAGTTGACCTACTAGAAGCTTGTACTGGTCATCGTAACAACAATAGTGCAGGAAAAGAAGAAGAAGAAGAAGAAGAGGCCAAAAAACATACCGCCGGAGCTCTTGCCGCTGATGGCCACTCGTACGAGTCACCGTCCGCTGTGGTATGGTCGCCATTATGTGGGTAAGGTTCGATGGAGGACATAGCAGCAAAACTATGCAAAATGGAGGGAGAATGAGGAGGATCACAAGCTGAGTGTTAGCCCCGTTTTATCTTTTTTGTGGACGATTGAACCAACTAGCCCATGCTAACGGTGGGTTCATGCATTAATGTTATGAAATAGCTGGTTGGGTGACGTGGTCGATAAAGATTGGCGGGTTCATGCATCCAGTGAACTAACCGGTGTACAAAACACAGACTCAAAAATAACACAAGTGCACGCCTCAAATGGCGACCTCTGTTTATAACTCTACATCTTAGATGAGC